TTACATTAATATTTTTTGAATTCCTTAACTACAAATATAATTTATTAAATTATTCTTTCAAATAAACTATTAAATAAAGTTAGATAATGGACTTCAAAATGCATAATTACAAAATAAATAAATAATTTAATACTTAGAAGGTAGGGATAGTTGAATAGGGGCAATATCGGAAATTGGAAGAAATAATTAAATCTGGTAAGATAAGGAAGATAATAATAAAATCATTCCCCTCACGCAGAATGAGTGGCGTTTAGGACATGACAGTACACCCAGAGCTGTTTAACACTAAACATTTACGTTTCTAATAACACACACTAAACTTGGGCCTACCATCTTTGACTACTTTCTCACATTTTACAGCTGTAAATTTTACATTTTAACTTCTCTACTTTCACATTTTACAGCAGTAAATTTTTTATTTAATTTTCGGGACTAAAAAATCCCCACAAGAAATGTGCGCTAATCAAGTGTCCCATGTAATTTTTTCTCTTTATTGTTTTTTTAAAAATAGTTTTTATGGAAAAAAAAAAAACTTTTATAATGCATAATTGTAATTATTACCATAAAAAAAAACAGAAATATAATATAATATAATTTTTTAAAAATTAAAATTTAACATTATAACATAATTTTTACACTTTAGTTATTGTAATATATAATTAATAATAATTATAAGAAGCTTTTTTATCCCAATTTCATAAATTTTAGCTTTATTAGCCAAAATAAATATTAAAATAAAATTATGGTCAATTTATAGAAAGTTGTGCAATTTAATTGTAAGATAAAAAAATATATATAAATTAATTTATTATCATTTGTAAAATATATATATATATATATATATATATATATATATATATATATATATATATATATATATATATATATATATTAAGATATAAGTGGGAATAGGCGGTAGACGGATAGAAATTACAATCTCGTCCCTGACTGTTATTTATCTAATAGAGAAAAATCTCTCTTGACATCCTCCCTCGTTCTCTGTCTAAACGTAAATTCTCCCCCTCAAACCAATTTTCTGAACTCCTACTATAAACGGACATATTTATCTTCATTACTGTACTTTAAAAAAAAATTGATATATTATAATAAATAAAATTATTTAGATTTTATTTATTTATTATAATAAATAAAACTTTGTTATTTATTTTATTTTTTTAAAATAAAATTATTTAGATTTTTTATGCTTAGTGGACTATTTTGTTATTTTATATTCGCCCTGCATTTCGGGAAATTACTGAATATAATTTTTTTTATTAACAATAATAATAATGATTAGATTAAAAACATGATTAATTAAATAAAACGTGTATTTAAAAAATATATATATATCTATATATTGCTGGACATCTTCCACGCCAGATGGACCCACGCCAGGCTGGAAAAGAATCTCACGTGAATCGAGTTGAATCTCTTTGACCTTTCGCACTCCCTTTCGGTGTGGCGTAAATCTTACGTGCCACTATCTTCGCTCATTTTTAAGAACGTGTGGTTCACGCTCTTGTATCGCACGTGCGTAATTCCTCTCTCGTAATTTTGGACGTACCCGATTACATTATCGGAGCAACCCACGTGGCAATTCTTGCAGTCCACTGGAGCGCGATTTGAGTTGTGCAAGGCAGTTGAGCGGTTAACACTCTATAAAATAATATAATCCAGCTGGCAACGCACTGTAGCACACCGACTTTCAGTGTTCCCTCTAAACTTGCCTTTTCTGACGTGGAATTTTATATTTCATGAAGACCCTATGTATTATTAATTTTATTATTCAATATTAATTGACAAACATTTGACCTAGCCTATAAAGTTAAATATTTATTTATAATCTTTTTTGTGATATAATTATAATAAGTTTGAGTTTCTTGCAAAATTTATTTTAAACCTTTATAATTTTTTATTTATTTATTTGAATATATATACGTATATTATATTTAAATATACCCAACTTTTATTCACAAAATTAAGATAATTTCCAGCCATTACAATTATAAAATACTATATATATATTTATATATAAATTTCCACAAAATTATAAATAATAGAATATAATATTTTAATTTTTTTTTAATTTACACTATACTTACAAAAGAAACAAAAAATACTATTATTCGTAATATTTTTAAATTGCATATAATGTAAAATTTATAAATACGTATGAATATATAAAGAAAAGACCAAAAATTATACAGATCATAATGAATGTGTCGGACATAAATAAACAATACGATGTGAATAAAATTTCCTGTCTGCTACATATCAATTTACATGTTTTTTTATTTATTTATTGTAAATTGATTTTTACATCCTAAACAAATTTATAAGGTTTAAGATTGAGGGTAATTTTTCTTTTTACCGCAGTTAAATAATATCATATAATTATTGAAAAATATTGTCTTCTTTGAACTTTTCCTTTCGAGGATATTATTCGGTGTCTGACTCTTATACCATTTGTAACAACCCAAGCTCACCGCTAATAGATATTGTCTTATTTAGGCTTTCCCTTTTGGGACGTAAGCCTTTCTTTGTTTGAACCTCGCCCTTAACTTTAAGGCTATACCATCCTAAGGTACTACTAAATGAAAGGATCTTATCAACGTTCATGAATGAGAAATTATTAGGAGTGAGTCTCACATTGGTTAATTTAGTGGAAGATCATAAATTTATAAGTGGGGAATACTATCTCCATTAGGATGAGGCTTTTTGTGTAAGCCCAAAGCAAAGAAGTCAAAGTGGACAATATTATACTATTGTGGAGAATCGTGATCCCTTTCTATATTTTAAAGATTAAAAATTATATATAAATATATTTATTTGGGGCACTGTTAATAAATAATTGGTTTGGTAAAGATTGAACAAGAAGAAAGGAAGGCGCTGGATATGTAGTAAGGGGGAGGGACCAGCGTGTCCCCCTCCAACCCAATCCACGGTCGGCGCGGCTCTTCCCGGCACGGAGGGATGGCGGGTTTTCATTTTGTCCTTATCTTCTCCACGTCAAACATTTAGTTAAATGGTTGTTATAAAACTTTATTTTATTATTATTATTTTTTTAAAAAATTAAATAGTTTGTAGGCTAAAAAATCAATATTAATATTAGATAGGTAAATTTAATTATTAATCAACTTAATTGGTAAATGTTATAAAACTTTATTTTATTATTATTATTATTTAAAAAAATTAAATAGTTTGTAGGCTAAAAAATCAATATTAATATTAGATAGGTAAATTTAATTATTAATCAACTTAATTGGTAAATTTAATTATATTAACGCCCTAAAAGTATTAGATTTTATTTATTTATTTTAAATCCACCCATATGAAAATAAATATTTACGTTAAATTGATAAATACCTTAAAAATACTCTTAAATTTTTGAAAGTTTCTATTTTTTTTAAATCTCAAAAATATTTTTACCATTAATTTTGGATTTTATAGTTTTTGTTTCAAAAATACCTTTAAATTTTTAATAGTGTTTCAAAAATATTTTTACCATCGACATTTTGTAAATTAATTTCAAACATTTTAATGTTATATTTAAAATAAAAATAAAAAGATGTCTTGAAATTAAATTTATAAAAGTATTAAATTATATAAAACAAATATATAAGAACTTTGCCTTTTTTTTTTTTCCTTTAAAAAAATTGTTATTCTTTCAAATTGGTAAGTTTTTTTTTTTTTTTTTTTTTTTTTTTTTTTTTTTTTTTTTTTTTTTTTTTTTTTTTTTNTTTTTACCATCGACATTTTGTAAATTAATTTCAAACATTTTAATGTTATATTTAAAATAAAAATAAAAAGATGTCTTGAAATTAAATTTATAAAAGTATTAAATTATATAAAACAAATATATAAGAACTTTGCCTTTTTTTTTTTTCCTTTAAAAAAATTGTTATTCTTTCAAATTGGTAAGTTTTTTTTTTTTTTTTTTTTTTTTTGTATTTTTATTTTTAGAAGGTTGAAAAAAAAAACTCACCCGAATAAAAAAAGGGTTCATAAATGAACCGATGTCACACTCGAATGAAATGACTAAGAAAAGGTTAAAAGAAATGAAAGTTACTATCTATACTAATAAAATACACTTTTTTTTTCGGTGCTCAATCGAAGAAATTTTATGGTTAGTTATTATTTACTTGGAGCAATGCTAGTTGAATGGTCTCTTAAAAAATTTATTGGAATGAATGTGAGTGGGGACAAAGCATGAGTATGCTAGAAGAACTCGTATTAGTACATGGGGATGGTCTTTAGTCATGTATCTTTTATTCAAGTGTCACATTTTTCTTTTCAATTTTTTTTTTAGAATTATTTATCAGTTAATTAAAAAAAAACGCCTTGACAATCGATTCAAGTTAGCAATCCAATCATTATTTCGATGGATTAAAATTAAGTTAAAATAATTTTGCAAATGGGGAAGAATAAAGTGTCTTTTTTTAAAACTTCAAATAAAAGTGTGTTGTCCCACGTTAGTTAGGGAGAAGAATAAAACAACATTTATAAGAGTGTGGAAACCTTCTCTAGCAGACGCGTTTTAAAGCCTTGAGCGGAAGCCCGAAAGGGAAAACCTAAAAAAGACAATATCTGTTAGCGGTGGATTTGAGTCATTACAAATGGTATCAGAGCCAGACACCAGACCATGTGCCAGTAAGGTGGATTGTGATGTCCAACATTGGTTAGAGAAGAGAACAAAACCCCATTTATCCTTGAGGGGAAGCCGAAAGAGGAGGACAAGCTATGCTAGCGGTGGATCTGAGCCGTTACATTTTCTCTATTTTAAAAAATAATATAAAAATGGTATAATTTGAACTTTTAAATAATTTGAAACATTGTTAAGATAACGATAAATTTGCATTAAAAAAATCCAGACCCGGCCCATATTACAGCTAGATTTTAGACCCGGCCCAATAAGCTCACAGATGACAAAGCCCGTAAATCAAACTGGCTATAAAAGGATTCCCGCCCCTTTCAAATTCGCTCCCATAGCGGGAACGAGCCGTGCATCTGAAATTTTCGAATCTACTCTCTGTTCTCACGGCCGATATCAGGTTGTCCAACTTTCATTCTCTTTATTATTCTTGATTCAGGAAAGAATTCGGATGTCTTCTTGTTTCCGATCTTAGGTTTTCGACCTTTCATTTGCTTCATTATTATAGATTTTATATTTTTTTTATGGCTAGTTTTGATGCTTGGCTTTGATTTCTTCGGTAAAGCGTTTTTACTGGTTTACATCGCATCATCCATGATGCAGTAGTTAGATCTTCGTCGTACTACTTCATGATGATAGTTCGAGGTTTTATTCTTAGAGATCGGGTGTGAAATGACACACTGAATTGATCTTTCTGTACGTATCGATCTTTTCCTGTCTTTTCTTTACAGTCAAATTTGTTCTGTCAATTTCTGATTGCTCGATCTTGTGTGCTTTACTTCTTGATCATTAACTTCAGTTTGATAGGGTTTCAAATTTGCCTGCTTGTAACTGGAATTACTTTTGCTCTCCGTTTCTGAATTCAGTTTTCTGCTGTAATAGAGTTCAATGTTAAGATTCTGCTTCCATTTTCTTTGATTCCTTCAAAATTGTTTCGATCTCTATGGGTTCCACACCTTACTCCGTTCTCCTGAGCAAAGACGTATGCGGACTTTCTTTCGTAATCGAGAATGTCAACCTTATTGAATTCACACGAATGAGAAAACACGATTATCTTGTTACATTACAATATAATGCGACATTATCCATCACCAATCCGCTAAAGCATCACAACTTCCTATTTCTAATTTGTAGCATCAACAGATAAGGTTTTTGTTTTAGGTAGTTGCAAACCTAATATCTTGTCACAATAGACGATAAGTTTTTTTGTCTGCTTCCGATCGAGCATGTGAAGTATATCTGAATCGACTCTTTTTGTCTCCCCTGCAGATTAGGTTGGAGATTGCCTGATTGTGTGACCTTGACGCAAGGTACATTTCCTAAACTATTATGCAAGGATATTATATACATATATATTTAAATTAGCTATTGAATTCCGTTTGTCGATGATGATTATAAGTTATAATTAAGGTTATGAGAAGATTCAGTGAGGCTCAGCGTATTTAAAGCGGTGCTATAAAAAAAAACTGGATTACCTTTTAAGTAACCATAAAATGGAAGTTTTTAAGGAGAATTGCAAAATTAGGAATTTAAATTTAATACTGTTTATTAGATTTGATAATCTGTTTTATAAGTTTTCAAGACGAAGCAAAGAAAATTATGAATAATTTGCATTTAATTATATTCATCTTTTATATTCCTGGTAAAGTTAACGAATGAGAGATAAAATTACAGTCGAGGAATTGCCCCCTCAATTTTTATAAATTAAAAAACTAATTATATGTAAACACTTACATTTTAATATTTCCCATTAAGTTGTCCTTATTTATTAAATTAGTTCTTTTTCAGAAGAACAGAGGTCTTTTGTTCCCTTCATCCCAGCCGAGGACTGAGATGATATTCATTTCGTTAATTAAATACTTGTATTTTGTCTATAAAAAAATACCCTTACATTCTTACATTTCTAATTTTAATTTTATTTTTAAAAAAATTCTAAAAGTTTTTTAAACTTCAGATTAATACTTTATTTTAAAAATAACAATTTCAAATTTTATAAATACCTTTAACTTTTTTTAAAATGTCAAAAAGAAAAAAAAAACAAACAAAAATAGTTTTGGTCACAAATTGACGGTAATATATATATTTTAAAACTTTTTTAACATTTTGATTTATGCTATGATATTAAAAACATTTTTTAAAAAATTAAGTTTGATGACAAATACATTTTTTAACTTTTTTTTTCTTTTTTCAAACGAATATTGTATAGGTATTTTTGAACTTTTTGAAAATATCTTTAAATTTTTAAAATTTTTAATAATACAATAAAAATTTTAAATAATACTTTTGAACTTTTGATTTTTTTATCAAAATTATTGATATTTTGTTTAAAATGTATATGTTAAAAATTATTTTAAAATACCTTAAAAATGTACAAACTTTTTTTTTTTTAGAGGAATAAATTAGTAGTAAATATTCATAAGTTTCAAAAGTAATATTAATTTCATTAAATCCTAAAAATTAAAGAGTGAAATAGTAAAAAGAAATAAAAATTAAAGAGTGAGATAGTAAAAAGAAAAGCAAAGATAGATAGTTTTTTTTTTTTTTTTAATTGATGGTAATAATTTTTTAATAAATGTTAAGCATATTAAGATTTTTTTAAAGTTCGAGTATTTTTTTCAAAAAGTTGAAAAGAGATTAAAAATAATTTTTAAACATTTTTTTTTAACATTTTTTTAAAACAAACTAGATTTTATAAAACGAAACTATAACAATTTTATAAAAAAACAGTAAAGATATGTTTGAATCATTTTTAAAGCTTAAACCTACTTTGAAAGTTCTTAGGTATTTTCTAAACAAAGTTATAAAAGTAATAAAAGTTATAATAAAGTTAACAATATAGATGAATTACAGTTAATTTTGTACGTTTCTTTTATGATTTGTATGTTTTAAGCAAAGTTTACTTGACATCTTTTTAAAAATTGAATTAAATTTAGAACAAAATTGAACATAAGATAAAATTTGCAATACATGCTCAAGGTTAGAGATAAATTTAATAAAACCATTTTAAAAGAGAATGGATACAAATTGATTTTCCTTCACCTATTTACCTCAATATTTAACATATTTTGTTTAGAATTCGGGTGCAATTTTTATTTTTCCTGCCGTTGAATAATAGGCTGCGGCAACAATTTAAGCATCAAGAGTAGACGATGCTTATATTAATTCAATGATTTGATCAAAAAATATTACTATATAAATTCAAGGATAAAGATTCCAGATTAAACAATACTCAAAAGTCTTGAACAAAATATTAATAGCATAAAGATTAAGCTACGTATGATCTCAAATTTAAAAAATAAATTAACTCACAAGTTCATAATCCTGAACTTATTTATCTGATCTGCTAAACCATGGATTTATTCTTTGTTGATAACATGAAATTTTTTTATATATAAATGCTAACGAATGACTACTGGTGGAATCTCTCAATTAATTAACAAACTAAAGTTGGAGTTGCTAAAAGCTTCAAACCAAAGTTAGAAATTAAGAAGAGAAAAAAAAAAGAAGATTTGGATAATAGACGATGAACCTATCCTATTCAACGAATTTACATTCTATTAACAACAGAGAGAATATGACAATGAGTCATTTAATTATCTGATATCGAACTGGACAGACAGATAAATGAACGTAAAACTACTGGAAAAGCGACTAACCTTGAATAGAAACTCGGGCAAATCAACTGTGATCATACCATATGATGATACAATGGTTGAATGCTTTGTTCCACAACTTCAAGCAATTCTTGTCTCCGTCTGCAACTCTGGAAAAGAAGTAAAGATGACTTCCTAAACGACTTGTGCTTCTGCTCTTACTGCTTCCAATATACTATCAACCCACCTGCATTTCAATCATCACATTTGTAAATTCACATTTTGTCTATTTGATCTATTGTAAAGCATGGAATTTCAATTATGAAAATAAATGCATCAACTAAAGATTTACTATTATTATTCTTATTATTATTATTATATCCTTGAGTGTTAGAATCAGCTTGAGTGCATCTCATCTCGACTAATCTAATGGTACAATATTCTGACCCTACTATATTTGGTTGCTAAAAAAATTCTAGGTAGATGGTTGATCGTAAAGTAAAAGTATGAAAAAACTCACCCTTTAAGGCCAGGATTCTTCGGGTAGTAAACGTTTTTCAATCCTAATCTTTTTGCTACTGCTGCAGTTGTTTCCCCAATACAGGCAAGTGAATTTTCCCACTCCTTTGGCTCTGATATAAGATTGATCCATGCGCTGTTGCAACAGATTCGTGATCCATGAGATGGAATGAACTATTTGATATTACAAATTCCTTTGCACTAGGGAGAGAACAAGTTTTAACCAAATAGTACAGGTAATATGTGCAGAAAGAAACTGGTGCTTACCGAACTGCAGAAGGTGAAGCCACAGTGACAACAGGCAACAGAAGTGCTTGCTCGAGAATGGATTGATCGACATAATCAACGGGTGCCTGAAAGATACCAGGAATAGTTATAATGCCTACGAAGTTAATTGCCTTTGAAACATATATTCTTTTCATAGTCTTAATTCAGGTTACTGAGAGTACAGGAACGAACAAGGTGTTACAATTTAAGACTCCCACGAGTTTGGAAATGTGTACTACAGAATCGATAAAAATTCAAGTATAGTCCAACGAACCTCTTCAACGAGGGTCTAAATTTGAAGCATACAAGATATTTATCAAGAACTTATGATCAAGTAGATGAATACGCCTCTAAAAATCAGTGTGGCATGTTTTTAAATTTGTGGTGTACAAGATAACTTTACCGTAGTGTATGTATTAAGCCTCGTGACCTCAAATCCACGATTTGCAAGACCCTCCTCTGAAGATTGCAAAAGGGGACACCAAGGTTATATTTCTCAAAGCCATTATTTTGCTTTCAGTTAGAACAGACAGAACAATACTAAAGCAGCATACTAGTGCTACAATGAGACGAACAAGTACTAAAACTTCAATTTTCCTTTTTAAAGTAACTGATAAAAGAACTCGTTCAAGTCGGCCACTTCATACTTGCAACCGGATCACTTGACATTAGAATTTCAAGTCACAACTACAGTTTGCATAAATTAAGTGTACAAAAGAAAACATAAATGTTGAATAAAACTGAGGCTTGCCAGTTCAGTTTTCCAACTGTTAATTTGGAGCAATGGGGAGGAATGTATATCTTGTAAATAATAGTGGCTTGTTATCATTAATAATGACTAAGCTAAACTATAATTGCAATTGGTTTTAAAATTTTCACCAGGGATTCAAAATTGATTTAAAATTTCCAACCAAGGTTCAAATTACTCATAGCCCTACTATACGTTAGTCGGATATGCATATACTATACATACACGAAGAGAAATCAGTCTGCATTGAAATATGAGCTATAGCTAGAACAACTGATTTTAGCAATACAAGCCCACATCTATCTAGTTTCAAGCACACTATCTCGCACACATTATAAGTACTTCTATAAATAACTTCCTCTTCCTTGGATTTCTTCAAACCAAAAGCTACTTATGAAGTGATTAGAATAGAACACAGAGACTTGGCAGCTATCCACACTACTAATTCTGCGTGAATTTAAGGTAAAGAGATGTCCGAACTCATTTGAAGGGAATGCTATTATAAATTTTTCATCTGGTTAGAAGTATTTTGAAAATTTCAGTTGTGGAAATCAGGTTTACTGGTCCAGGTAAAATTGGACTTGTTACAAAGGGTAGCTACTTAAGTAAACCTAAGATAATTGATAATCAGAAAGGCAGCCGTGGACTGTGAGGCAACAATTTAGTAGCAATACTTCCAGTCGAAATAAAATTCCTTATAGTTATGGCATGAGGAAACAAGAGTAACTATTTTAATAAATAAATAAATAAAAGAAACATCATTTTTACGACATTATCTAATGGAAAATAGCCTCAGATTGTAGAAGAAAAAGAGTACATTGCATACCGATATCGTTGCTTGCTTTAGTGGAAGCAGGATACAAGACACTGCACTTCGTATTCCCTAATTTTGGAAGCTCGTAAGCCAAGACCTTGCCTATTGCTGAAAGATATAATAGATGAAAATAAAATTCAAATTTTGATATTTGTAGGACAACAATGTATTTCTGTAGAAGGATTCTAATCCAAATCAAATGCAGATGCCTACACACGTAATATGAATAAGAAATCTACAGTGTCCTCCCAAAAAATAGTGAAATTACAAATACCTGCCAAATTGTGATTGTTGAACAACAATCATAACAGAGACATAATTGAAGATGAAAAACTACTAGAACAAGTACCATCTAAATCATTTGACATATTTTTTCACACTGTGTTTTAAAGTTCTGATGTTCCAAACAGCAACAGTTTTTTTCAAGGTCTTATCATCATCTGATTTGAATTAAGACAGTTTGTAAATGATATAGGCAAAAGACTAATAACATCATGCAAACAAATACTATATGC